AAAAAAAAAAAAAAAAAAAAAAAAAAAAAAGGAAAAGGCATTTTCTGAATGCCTTTTTTGCTGCTGTCGTTGCTGATGTAATATTTTACTATTGAGCTCAGCTATTGTTAGCAAAACTTTAATGGTCATCAGGAGAACATTTGCTAACTTTTTTTCTGTACTCAACTTTTTTTAACTATCTGTAGAAGGTACCTAACGAAAAAAAAACAAAATAAAACGATTGGATAATCTCTGTAAGAGGTATGAGACGATCTACATGAACAGTTTTTTTGCTATAATCTGTCTAGACCTATTTAATGCTGTATCTCGACTCTTTCTTCAGCACTATTGTGGTGGCCTTATCGGAAGGCTTTCTTCAGTAATATTAAAAAAATTGGAAAGACTTTTAAGCAGAAAATTACTGAAGAAACATAAATATTAAAAAAGAATAGAGCACAGGTAAAGTGTCTTTTTTCTGACATGTGACTTCCTCAATACGAAAAGTTAACGAGCAGTAACAATAGCAATTAGCAGCAAAATCTATCCTATTTTAATTTGTTTTCTGCCCAAATAAAACGACAGTCAAAGAAACAGTTAATAGAAAGCAAGAAAATTTTGACCAATAATAAAGATAAAAAAAAGCAAAAGATTAAGCCAAAAAGAAAGTGGAAGCAAAACTGCAGTGAAGATAAAAGAGAATTAGTTTAGAAAAAAAGAGAGAAGCACAGGGATTTCCTCCTTATACTGTCTACGGGATTCATTGACTGAGTGGTTTATAAATGTCTTTGCGTATTTTTCTTTCTTCTTGTTGTTATTTTACTGCCTTTTTTTACTGACAAATCACATTTTTGTCAAATGCCAGGAAAAAAGAATTTTTTTGTGTGTGTGAAAAAACTAGTGTAGAAGCATCAAAAAGCACACATGTCATTAAAGTGTTGTCGATGTCAAAACAGTTTTTGACTTGTGGTCAGTGACACAAATGTGTTACAGGTTGTGGTGACCATCAATCGCTAACTGACCATAACTCATTGTCCTGGTCAGTTTTCCTAAACGGGTGTGTTAACCGTGCTTATCCACTTATACAAATATACACTACAATCATTGTCAGCACCACCATCATCACCACTATTTGAACAACTGACTGATCTGTTGTTCAGATTTTTGCTGCTATTCTTCAATAACGAAAAAAAATTTTTTTTTTTGAATTTCACATTTATAGCTTTCTATTTTTCTATATAATAAAATTATTACTACTAAAAAAACGTATTTTTTTTCAACAATTTTTTAGCAATTTTTATTGTCCACATTTTTTTTGTTGTTATACATTCCCTGTACTGTTCAGTACATCCTTACTTATTGCTCAGAAAATATTATATTGAGATACATTAGTTACCAACTGAAATTTCTTCTATTTTTGATTTTTTCTGCCAATCATTTTCACTGTTAATTCTTTCTAAGTTTGAAAAAAAAATCTGTAGTTTCAAAATGGCTGTTATAGGTACCTTACACTATTAATATATCAAACAGTAGTAATAACTTTGGCTGTTTAAAAATTTCTTGTTCTTTGCTTATCGAATATCGTCAAATTTCTGTTAAACCTTATTATTTGTTATTAAACACGATTTACAGAATAAATTAGCAAAAATATTTCAGTTACGATGCTTCTACTTCAATTATTTGGTTTAACGCTACTTCTCTCATTGGCGTTTATCGACGGTTTAGATGGTTATCATTTACAGTCCGATAAACTTAAACCTGCATTTAAACGTGCTCAAACTTCCGAATCGAAGCAATCAATATTATCAAAACCAATTTTACTTAATCAAGCGGTAAGCTGTAATAAGTTGTTTGTTTAATAACTTTCTAATGTGTTTAAGCATTTTGATTTGAACTGTTAATGCAACACGGTTTAGTGTAACTTATTTGAGCAGTATGATTCTTAGAAGTAAAATTTTGTACAAAAATTCAATGCATTTAGAACTGCAATCGTAAAACTATTAAAAAGTT